TGACCTTTGACCGGTCATCGATGGGAGAAACACTAAAACCGGTCCTCCTTGATGGAGGCAAACACCCCCATTGATGACCGGTTTTGACCGGTCATCGATGGGAGAAACACCCCCATCAAGGACCGGTTAAAACCGGTCATCGGTGGGGGAAACAGGTCATCAATGGGAGAAACACTAAAACCGGTCCTCCTTGATGGAGGCAAACACCCCCATCGATGGCCGGTTTTGACCGGTCATCGATGGGAGAAACACCCCCATCAAGGACCGGTTAAAACCTGTCATCGATGGGGGAAACACCCCCATCAATGACCGGTTAAAACCGGTCCTTGATGGAGAACCCGCCCCTCCTGGAGGGGCGGGTTCGATTGCACGCCCCTCCAGGAGGGGCGGGGGCGTGGGCGTGCGGGGAGGGGGAGAGAGTGCAATTATCATCGCCCCTCCTGATGAGCTGGTACACAATCCAGCTCATCGCAATGAGCTTAAGATCATCAGCTCATTGGGAGGGTTTCCTCCCAATTAGCTTACAATCAGCTCATTGGGAGGGTTTCCTCCCAATTAGCTTACAATCAGCTCATTGGGAGGGTTTCCTCCCAATTAGCTTACAATCAGCTCATTGGGAGGGTTTCCTCCCAATTAGCTTACAATCAGCTCATTGGGAGGGTTTCCTCCCAATTAGCTTACAATCAGCTCATTGGGAGGGTTTCCTCCCAATTAGCTTACAATCAGCTCATTGGGATGGTCTTGGTCCTACCAGCAGGTATTTTACAACCTCTACACTGGCTGTATTCTTCCAAAGAGTTCCAACTGCAGTCGGGATTTTTATTTTATTTTCTGAATCTTCTGCCAACCAAGAACGCAAGCTTTCTTGGTTTGGCTGTATTTGCCTGTAGGATTTCATTTTTTTTTCCTCAATTTTTTTTTTCTTTTTTTTTTTTCTTTTTCTTTTTGTTTGAGGTGGCTCCAAATGTCTGGCATCAAGGGGGCGTAGAAAGAACAAAAAAAAAAGTGGTTTTTTTTCTTCATTTTGAGAAATGGGGTCAAGCCAATGGTGGGGCTTTTTTGACCCTGATCAGGGCAGGCCGACGTTGGAATTGCGGCTTTCCTGCCAAAATTCGATGTTGGCCAGACCAATCTGGCAGGATTCTGTGAAGAGGGTTGAGGCCAATGGGTGCTTGGCCGCGGAGTCAAGCTCAAGCAGCGCCATTTCAAAAACCCAACCCATGGTGTAGTTAAGCTGGTGATTGATACCGCTTTTTAATGCCCCCCCCCGTTACAAGTACCGTTTAACAAGCAAAGGTATACCTAGGGTATATATACCGTGTCCGGATCGTGCCCTCGTCGAGCTCCGATGGGACGAGTATTAAATGTGGACGAGGTTTGGGCACACTTGGATATCAAGTCGCCTCAATCACACAAATATACCAGCCAGAGGAGATCAGCTACACCATCTTTTACGCGAAACAGAGTCAGTAAAATAAGGCTGTCCTCGTGATCTGTTCAGCAATTCTACTTTTCTGGCGCAGTTGACGCGTCCATAATACCAAGCAGTATGTTATGGCTGACTTGCAAAAGCCCCCGCGTCTGACTCGCATCTGCATCGAGCTCGATCGGACGCTCAGAAATGGCCAGAGCTCCATAGCCTTGAATCGCTTGGGGAGATGTATCTACATTCAAGGCCAGTGGTGTCCTATAGGACCCCCGTGCCCTTTTCACTGTCTTTCAGTTGGCCATTCCAATCATTATATGGTAGATTACCAGAAATTAGAATTATTGCCCCCAGACAAAAAAAGAGGCTTACAAGCTCCATTTTTGTCAAGATCAAATGTTGTTTTCAAGAAGACTTGTCATAGTTAAGTTTGTTTGAATAGTTATCTAAGATTGGTGACAGGCAAAGGAGCACCAACCTAATTAACGTGATTCGTGTTTCTTGGCCAGGCCTGTGTTGTGATACCGGCTTGCTTGACACTCGCGATGGAGGAGGTAGCACAAACTGGACAACGAAGTCGAAGGAAAAGGATTGGAAGAATCTCGGACCATGTGGAGAAAACGAGCACGAATCTCAGACGTGAATGGCCGGTTGGCTTCCAATCGGAGTCTAGCGGATTAGATCCTTATAGGCTGGATAGCAAGTCGATGCTTGCCCCTTACTTCAATCAAAGTATCGAAACACTCAAATTTTATTCACCAGAACTTCTGACTGCTGGAATAGCGATTTATCTGGCTGCCTTTTGGCCACACCTTTATGAGCTTCACAATATTCCTCCTTTTCGTCTCCCAATTGCTTTCTGGATCTCTACCGGGCCGGGGTTCATCTGGAAGCTCATCCGTAGATGCCAGTTCTTCAAAAAGCACGGCATCCATGATCCTCTCTTTCACTAGCAAGCTCTTGGATCCTTTCAAACCTATGATCCTCAATACCATTATATTTTTCCCACACATTCAAAAACCACATTTGTCTTGGAATATTAATGGAACAAGAATATTCTCTCTTGGTTGTTCTCTTATACTCTGTGGTGATGATGTTCAGAGATCTTGCTTCTTCACTTGAACAGAAAAAAAAAATGGCTGGTTAAAGGTAGTCTTATTGTTTGCCTTGATCAATTTTGCAATAGAATTGAGCTTTCAACACTTGTATAAGCGGAGACCTTGATCATTCTCAAATACTCATCAATGATATCCAGTTTTCTAGTAGCAAGAAAAACGCAGAGAGGAAAACATACAATGGTCAAGTAGTACGGTTGCCATTGGAAAGAAATCAAAACAACTGTCAGCATCTATGCCACAAAGAATCAAATTAGATCTTCTTTGTCTGAAGCTGAGATCAATTTGAAAGCTTTTGCCCCAAGTTTGAAGTGTTGATGTGAATTTTGGGTTGCTTTTGGTTGTGTTCTTTGATGTGTTTGAATGATTTCCTTATATTATTAACTTTGGTTCAATCCATTTGAAATATAAAGAGTACTCGAATGATGCATACAAACAGAGACTGAGTTGAAGCGAACTTGTACCCGAGGTGAGCTCTTCAACAATCGAATCCAACGAGGCGACCATCATGAGGGCGGTCATCCAAAGGGTCACATCGGCTTCAGTCACCGGTCAGTCAGTCAGTATAAATGTAATGTTTCTGTCTTTCCTTCTTTCTTCTTGGTTTGACTCAGGAGACTAACTATCAACTCATCCATCGCTTCGTTCGCCACAGTCAATCAGACCGAAATCTCGAGAATCGGGAAAGGATTGTGTGTGTTGATCGGAATCGGAACCGGTGTGTCTCAAGATATACGAATCACTATATATTATATATCGCCATGATAATTAGCTTGAAGTACATACATGAATTCTCGATGCTCAACGAAAAACCTCTGTTTGAATCCGATTTCCGGAAGCAAATCTCAGATGATACGACCAAAGAGATGAGCTACATCGTCTCGAAGATCCTATCCCTACGATTATTTCCATCATCGGCTTCCTCTTCTTCTTCCGCATCATCACTATCATTGTCATCAAATCCAACTCCGATTCAATCAGCCATTCATTCAACAGCCACTAAGAACACGGAGCACAATCAACCCGATCATCATCTCACTCGAGGGAACATCCTTGAGCAGCAAGAGCAGGAGGAACCTTCATCGGCTCACAAAGAATGGACTAAAAGCGTCAGAGATATTGACGGAGAGGTCTTGATAGGTTCGTGAGGTTCTTTCTTTCTCTTACTTTGACTGGCTTGAGCCAAGGAAACAAATCGATTTGACTCTTATTCTAATCAGTAATTATCGATTTATAATTTTTGGTGATTTTTTTGGCAATTTCCTTTTTTGTTCTAGTGAGTCAATTTACCTTGATGGCTAAGACGAAGAAAGGTAACAAACCTGATTTTCATAATGCCATGGTAAGTCTAGATCATCATCAAAAACATAAATCTTCTTCAGCTCACCCCTCCCCATTGTCACAACAATCATATTCGACCAATTAATAAAAAAAAATTAACATTGACCTCTTTTCTCTCTGTCTCAAAATCGACAAACTGAAATTTTACGTACATACAAGAAAACCGACTTATCGAAAGCATTATATGAAGAACTGCTCAAATCACTCAAATCAACATACAGCGAAGCCCTAATAAAAGGTGAATCGATCCATCCATTACTTGTCCCATTAAATCCGACCATATACATCGTCCCTTAATGCATGTTCCAGCTCATAATATGCACATGCTCACCTTTGAATCGACCGGAACCTGACTGTCTCTGTTTGATTTGTTCCTTGTTTTGGTTGGGTATACTTATGTCATCTTGATCCGGCTTTATTAGAGGGTCAATTTGGCGCAATGATGAATGTGAACATCTCTAATGATGGGCCAGTCACGATCATCCTAGATACCAATGATAAATGATCTTTCTTCACCTCTCTGATCACCACCATCTTCAACATAACAAACTACTCTTGAATTCTTGTATATATGTTATAACAGACCATAGGTCATCGGGGTGAAGCCGAAGACCCGAGAACTCCGATATGTACTCTCTTTTTTAAGGAAACACAACAGGCGTAGGAAATATCATCTTCTTGTTTTTTTTTTTTCTTTAATGATCGATTGTTGTGTTTCTTGTTTCTTCCACAAACCTGTGATTTATAAGGGATGAAAAGAAATAACAAACTATGTAAGGATTCAAAGGGATTGCCAGAGCTCAAAGACTTCGAGAGGATAAGACTAGAGGAGGTTCGTCGACGTTTCTCTTGACGGAAATAAGAAACAAGTAATTTTCTTCTTTTTTTCAGTGGGGATGATATATATTAACAGCAAAACCTATGAGATTTTTTTTCATAAAGATGCAGAAATAATCAACTTTGTGTGCATTGGAATGTGGATATGAGAATAGTGTACAATTTTTTGTTTGTTTGTCTCTGTGACTCACTGAGGAATGATCATAAGGGATTGAGTTGTTTTTAAGGTAGTTGGCTATAAGTTGTAGAAGCACCAGGATAGAGTGAATCGAAATCAAAAGACGAGGGTTGGCGGAAGAACGAGAAGGATAATGAGAAGGGAAGGGAACTAGGAGCTAGTGTGTGAATTTCAACCGGCGATTTTCTTCGTCCGTCCTTCGCGTCTCTTCATCCTCAACAGCTTCTTCTGGGAGAGCTTGAGGCTCAATCGTTCGAGCCGTTCTTTCTCCTTGAGCTTGGCCTTCCTCGCCATGATCTTCTCGACCTTCGCCCGTTTCTCTTCCTCCTCCTTCTCCCTAATCTCTCGTTCTAGTAGCTTGATCGCCTCCATCTTCTTCCGTTCCTCTTGTCGCTTTAGCCAACTCGTCGATTGTTTACGGTCGGTTTTGTTGGCTCCCGTCATCGTGCGTGCGTGCGTTCTTTTTTTTTTTTTTTCGTTTGTTGTTTTGTCGATTCGGGGTGGTTGAGGTTGAGTTGGGTGCATCTTTTTCCTCAGGTTGACATGCATCGAGGCCGGGGGGGAGGGGGCTTAGCTTCGGGCTTAAGCATAAATCTGGGGCTTATGTAAGGGCTGAACCCCCTTCTCCGAGGGCCCGATCACAGCCAACTGGCAACTTGAAGACTTTCGACTTCGGAACCAACAAGGACAAAAACCAAACAAGCTCAAGACCAGAGAGCAAGATGGTATCGAGCTCACTACTATCAACAGCCAACAAACGACTCATCCAACCCACCCGATGGCTCATCCACAACTCACAAAACAACATCATCATCACTGGAAATAGCCACAGCAGAACCAACGAGGAGCGACGATCGTTCTCAGTCAGTCACATCATCCAAGCCGGCGGGAAGAACAAGATCAAAGTATCCAGCAAGGGCAAGTTCAAAGACCATAGACTCGGCGGGCCGGGGATGGAGGAAGCATTCGACATCGAGCGCGACCTCGCTAAACCTTTCGCTATGCAGGATGTCCCCGCGGTCACTCATTTGAGATGGGCGGAGGCGCGGAAACGGTTGAATAAATTACGGGCTATCAAGTTTCAAATGCCATCTCTCATCAGTCAGTTATTGTAGTAGTCCCCCTAATCCACTTCTGTCTACCTAGTCGAACTTATGTTTTTTTTTTTTTTTTGCAATTCTTTTGTGGCATTAGAATACCAGCAACCTTTTGTGCCTCCTCCGCCTGATGCACATGTGATTGTACGGACCCAAGACGACATGGGCTTCCATCGCGGAAAGCTAGACTCGCAACGGGCCAACAAGAAAGCGAGCATCCAAGTGAATCTGTCCAAGATCCCGGAGCTGCAGGCCTCGTCTGCAGCGATGCATAAGTTCAAACTATTGAGTGGAAAACGATGGTTCGAATCAGAGATCCGGTCCGAGTTCGACATGAGTGACCATCATGGGGATCCCCACGGGCTGGTCAAGATCTCCTGCGACGATTACTCGACTGCCCAGATGAATCAGAAATGGTGTTCGGATACCTTAGACCGACTGATCAAGGAGGCCACTCGACTGGAAGACGCAGACCCGATGACCGACATCCCTCTCGACCCCAAACCCACCCTCCAACGCAGACATCGCAACAAACATCGGCCCTGGTCCGTCCAGCCGGATCTTAACACCCATTTCCCCAAGGAATGGCTCCCCGACTCCGCCCGAACTCGCCTCGATTCCGCACAATCATCTAAAAAGAAGATCCTCATCCATCAGAAACAGGAGCTCGTTAAACTCGACCATCAGCTTCGTCAACTCATCAAGTGGGACGGTATCGGAATCGCTCCAGTCGGATTCTTCAATAAGTTGGATCCTTCGGTTAAACTAGAAATCCAGCATTTAATTACTCGACGTAATCAAATCAGAGATCTGTCTAACCATCTCGATCGCCATTATCTCAAAAACTTTCAGCACACTCAATCTACTCCTTCTCCTTGATCAATCATCCCATTTTTCATTCACTCCTTTGAATGTTTGTTCGTCAATTTCACAATTATCTTTTTTTTGATCATGTAATAATGAAGCAAAAAAGACACATATATATAGATAAATTGCCTGGAATTTGGGGAGGTTCGACACGGTCAACAATCACAGAGGAGAGCCAGAGAGGATGTAATGTATCTCAATCCGATGCAATGTATGAGGACTTGACTCAACAAAGGACATGCATTTCACTCGGGAGGCTTATTGGAGGTTTTGGTCAGTGTGAATCTTGTGTTATATCATATAATGATTGGAATGACCAACTGAAAGATGATGTAAAGAGGGTCCTATAGGACAACACTAGCCTTGAATACAGAAACATCTCTACAGGCCATTCAAGTCCACCAAGGCCTGGCCATTTCTGAATGGACTACAAGGATAGCCTTATTTCATTACTCTGTTTTTGCATAAACAATGATGTAGCTCTCACTGGCTGGTAAGTGTGATTGAGGCGACTGATATCCAAGCCTGGGGGCCCATTGATCCACAATTTTATTTTTGGAAATGTGACTGGTTTCTAATGGTGGATTTCTTATATTCTATACCCCCCCCCCCCTATTATCTCAGAATTGCATCATGATATATGTTTTTTCCATACTGAGAAAAATCATGTGTTTTTTTCTTTTTTCTTGTTTTGGTTGACTTGACTGAATATGGATAGATTTGTCTGCACACATGTATCCTGGGAAGTTTTCCTGGATCAACCAGTCAAATCTGTCTAACCACACACAGTGAAGCCTGCCTGACCAAATACCCGTAAAAGGGAATAAACCCCCTAAAGAGGACGATTGGTACCCGGGTACCTCTAGTGGTACCCTGGTACCGCCTTCATTTTGCTCAGAAATGGACACCAGGTACCTCACCTGGCACCCCCTGGCAGGAGCCAGGTGGGTCTGGTCAGTACCAGGCAAACAGGTGCCAGGTACCAATTGTCATCTTTAAAAACCCCATACCACATACTCATTTGTGTCCTTCAAATGTTCTTTTTGACTTGAGTTCACCCTTGTAACTGCATAACCTGCCAAACTACATAGCAAATTCTGTCCACAAAGGGGCATGCTGTTCTTGCAGGCTGATCTTAGCATGAAAGTTCCAGGTTCAAATCCTGGTGCCCCCCCCCCCCTGCACCCCCCTGGGAAGTACAATCCTCCATCAAAAGCTCTTAATAAGTTGTAAATTTATACACCTTGTCCATAACTTCAAAGGTTCTCACATACACTGTAAATACAGCCTCATTGCAGGCTTACTCCATACTAGTAATACTATAGTGTGCAATGTCAAATCACTCAGCACACAAAAAGAAAAAAGGGAGTATGCAGTTAGAAGGGTTTCACTGAGTGTACAGTGATTAGCCATCAGTTTTTAGTGCAACTCACCAGTATTATTTTTAGTCTGAATCAAACATATTTGGTCAGTATGTACATAGTGATGTATTTTTAAATTTACACATTAAACACAATTGAAACCAGTTTCAAGCTCTAGTTTCACAAAGCTTTTCATGAATTGATCCAATGTTTTCTGAAAACTGGTCTTGCTGAATCCATGAAAGGACCAAAGATTCAGCTTATAAAGAGGGGTAAGCGGTTGGATTGAATATTTCCAGAAAAACAAAATATCACTTGTAATCTATTTACTCCTATATACAATAATTCAGAATTACAAAGAATTTCCAATAGAGACCCCCCAAAAATGAACCTTTACTTGGGGTACTATCACATAGGAATTTTAGTGATATCCTATTCATTGAAAAGAATCCATTGAATGGAGGCTCTTGGTGAATTCCTTCAATCCATCTGGCCATTTTTTAATTTGATGTGGAAACTGATCCTGATTTCTGTGTTCTATAAATCATTTAAAAAACAGAACACAGCAGTCGAGAGTTCAGCCAGATGTCTAATTCAGGTTATTCATCTGAATTATCAGACACAGAGGCCAAGATTCCAGAACCAGACTCTTCATTCATATCAACAGAGATATCAGAAGGAGAACTGAAGAAATACATAGAAAATGTCAATCCACTTTATAAGAAAGACATTCTTTTCCCAGATTCAAGTAAGCTAAAACACCATAAAATTGGAAAACATTTGATCCTGACTAACCATTCCTTTGGTATTCATATACAGAAAAACTTGAATCATGCTAATGTGTGAAATGAAAAATTGAAATAAATGTAAAGGTCAAGCAACTTCCTTCCGAGAAGATTTCATACTCATGAGAAAAGGTTTGGCCAAAACAAAAGCCATATTCTATTACAAAATTTCATTGGATAAGAGGGATATCCCAGAGAACAGAGAATTGCTTGAAAACATTAAGAAATTGGAATCTTTCCATGGGCTCATTTTGGATGAGATACAGTATAGGATACACAAATCCAAAGACAAGAAATCAGATAAAATCACAATAGCTATGGATGATTTGAAGCCACAAATCCAGTATTCCCAACTCAATTCAAAACATGATATTCATCCAGTCTCTAAACTGAACTTATGTTCTTGTGTGACATGGCCTACCAAAATTTTTGAAATTTCCAAACAATATCAAAAATATCTGCCTGAAATTTTCAAAGAAAGAATTGATACAAAAACTGAATTGAAAAATCAGATAGGAGAAAGCTCTGGTTGTGAAGAATTGAATGAATATTTTCCCGCAAGCAGTCTGGGTCAAGATATGGTTGAATCCATAAGGATTCATCTTTTTGACATTCAGACTACCAAGTTGAATAAACTGTTACATCAAGTTGGTTCTTTCAAAAAAGCAAACAAGATAGATTTCAAATCCAATGAATTTATTTCTATAAAGCTAGTGAATAATATAATACAAACAGTTAATTACATTTACACACATAAAATGATAACTAAGCATGCTATGAAATCTTTTTATGCAAACAACGACACCATAGAAATTTCTGCAATAAGCATGATTCTTGGTCATTCATCTGAAAGGCTTTACTCAAATGTATACTTGAGTGATATACCCACACCGAAAACCATTCCCAGGTATGATTTTTCACATTACATGAGCTTATTTGATGGTAAGAAATGATTTCATAGACATCTATGTCTCATAACTGTGACTGATATTTGCTTCTTTTATTCTGCTCTATAAAAAAAATGTGCTTTCAAATGAAATGAATTGGAAAAACTGAAGTCATAGAGGGAAAGAGGCTGAGATACTCCAAGTATTTATTTTTGAAATCATTCTTGAGATATAGATGTTCCATTCAAATGTACAGCAATTCATATGCAGATGAAATGTTTGGAAATGATCAACTGTTTTTCATACTTGAAAAGTATCATTCAAGTGAATTCACACCACAAGATGAACCACTAGAAGTTCCATGGGATGAAAAAATGGATTTGATTGAAATCAAGAAAAAGTTACAGCTTCTAATCAATTTATTCCAAGATAATCAAAGTTCAGATCTCACATTAATACTCAACAAAGAATCATTTTATATTATTGAGTTTATAGTAGATAACTATCCCAATTTTACTATGGGTTTTCAAAAAGGCCCAGTTCTCAAGGAAAAAATTGACATACTTTCATCCAGAATCAAGTTTTATGATGACTTGAATATGATCCAGAAGTATTTGAATAATCTAAATTTGGAATTTGAAGATGAAATACAGCTCAATTCTGTAAAGAAGTTAGACACTGAAGAAAGCAATAAGTTAAGAAGGTTTTGCAAAGAAATTTTGATGATTGAAAAGTACTTTCAGCTAATCATTTCAAAGCACCAGAATTTTTTTTCTTGTACTGATTTGGAACTGAAGAATTATTCCCTGATTGATTTGTTGGAAAACCTAAAACTTAGATTTGAGAAAAATATTTCAAATCACAAGATAAAACTGAAGGAAATCATAGAAAATTCTGATACCACTGATCCTTTCTTTCAGTCATTTTCCTCTAGAATATAATGTATGTCTTACTGTTTCAATCTATGACCCTCCCAGAAGTCAATTTACACCCATTAGATCTATTTTTTTTCATCAAGAAGAAATACTTTTTCTGAAGCCTTCCAGGAACAGCTCTCATGTGAGCTTGTGGAAATCTTGATCATGTTGTTAATTTAGGACTGAGGGATGTCTAAGCACTCTAAATTGCAACGGGAAGTCTTCCAATTAAGATCACTTTTTTACATCCTCATTTTTTTTTCTACATCACTGCTTGTGTTCTATTGCTATTGCTACTAGAATTTCCTGGCATATTTAACATAGGCCAAGAGAATGAACCAATATATTTATGAACAAATTTGATGAGTTTTTTTGTGCTTTTAAAATTGGAGGGGAGTTGATAAATTCCTGCCTGCATGACCAGGGGAGATTCCTCTAGCCATGAAGGTTGTACAGCTGGTGCTACCACATACTCATTTCAGTCCACCAAATGTTCATTTTTGCAGGTAGCTCATCCTTGTACAGTCTCCTCCCAGATATTTATGGCCATCTTTTTTCAGCTCCACTCAGGGAGCCCAAAAACTTCAAGTTACAAGAGTTGGTGGAATGTTCAAAACTCAAAAATGGGTCTCAAAGAATGAATATGAAAAAATAATAATAATAAAAAGGGCCTTAATAAAAAAACCCGCATTTTCCGCGTTTTGACGCGCTTTTGCTGTGGCACAGCACATGCGCATTCCGCTTTTAAACCCGCATTTTTAATTAATTTTTTTTTGCCATTAATTTCGAGTTTTTTTGATTTTTTAAAATTTTTTCCTACACTTTGAAGGGTGTAGAATTTAATGGTAAAGTCCATTTACCATAAAAATGACTTTGATTTTTTTTTTTCTGCTTACTCATTTTTTCAATTAATTGTTTGCATGCATGTATGTACCTTATTTTTTATGCTTTTTTGAAATTTTAAAATTATTTCCTAGGTTTCAATGTGTGTAAAATTTACTGGTGCAATCCAATTTTTTTAAAACTCAACGGTTCATTTTTAATACTGAAATTAGACCCATTTTTTCACTTAATTTTTTACAGCTTAATTCTCATCATTTTTTGACATTTTAAATTTATTTCCCACACTTTAAGACATGTAGAAAGTGATGGTAACAACCATTTTTCCCCAAAATGAAAAATACATCTTGAATACTGCATTTGACACCGTTTTTTAATTGAATTCTTCACTTTTTCACTCAATTGTTTGCATACACGTGTGTACCTTATTTTTTATGCTTTTTTGAAATTTTGAAGTTTTTTCATACATTTAAAAGTGTGCAGAATTTAATGGTAACATCCAATTTTCTTAAAACTCAACAGTTCATTTTTAATACTGAAACTAGACACTTTTTTCAATTAATTCTTTACATGTTATTTCCCAATATTTTTTGACATTTTAAGTTTATTTCCCACACTTTAATACATGATAAAAATGATGATAACAACCATTTTACATAAAAATCAGCGCTTGTTACTGAATACTGCAGTGGACAGGCTTTTTTTAATGTTTTTTTGATTGATTTTTACCGGCCTGATTTTAAGCATTTTTTTTTATTTTAAATTTATTTCCTACATTTACAAATGTTTAGAATTGAATGGTGAAGTCCAATTTCACTCAAAATACAAGCTTCAATCTTAATAGATGAGTGTACCCTGTTTCTTGCATAATTTGTACCATATACAAATTTTATTTGAATGCAAAATGGATACAGCCATCAATTTTGAAACCTTTAAAAGTGTAGGAAATGAGCTTGAAATTCCAAAAAATAAGGATAATTGAGCGTGTAAGAATTAATTCAGGAAACACGTCAAAGGCATTATTCAAGATATAGTTTTCATTTTGATGAAAATTCATTGTTACCATAATTTTATACATGTTTGAAAGTGTAGGAAACAAATTTAAAATGTCAAAAAATAATGAAAATTAAGCTCTTAAAAATCAATTGAAAAATATGACTAATTACAGTATCCAGAATGAACCGTTGAGTTTTATGGGAATTTAATTTTACCATTAAATTCTACACACTTTTAAATGTATGAAAAAACTTCAAAATTTCAAAAAAGCATAAAAAATAAGGTACACACGTGTATGCAAACAATTGAGTGAAAAAGTGAAGAATTCAATTAAAAAACGGTGTCAAATGCAGTATTCAAGATGTATTTTTCATTTTGGGGAAAAATGGTTGTTACCATCACTTTCTACATGTCTTAAAGTGTGGGAAATAAATTTAAAATGTCAAAAAATGATGAGAATTAAGCTGTAAAAAATTAAGTGAAAAAATGGGTCTAATTTCAGTATTAAAAATGAACCGTTGATTTTTAAAAAAATTGGATTGCACCATTGAATTCTACACACATTAAAACCTAGGAAATAATTTTAAAATTTCAAAAAAGCATAAAAAATAAGGTACATACATGCATGCAAACAATTAATTGAAAAAATGAGTAAGCAGAAAAAAAAAAAATCAAAGTCATTTTTATGGTAAATGGACTTTACCATTAAATTCTACACCCTTCACTTGAAACATAACTTCATATCCCGCACTGGATGTGCAGTAAAATAAACCTGGATATGTAGTATTTTTTTTTTTTTTTTTTGGACCTCTTCACACCATTTTTTTTTTAAAAAAAACACTGAATATCCAGTTTTTTTTACTCCATATCCAGTACTGGATATGAGGTAGTGTTGAAAGTGAGCTTCAAAGTGTAGGAAAAAATTTTAAAAAATCAAAAAACTCGAAATTAATGGCAAAAAAAATTAATTAAAAATGCGGGTTTAAAAGCGGAATGCGCGTGTGCTGTGCCGCAGCAAAAGCGCGTCAAAACGCGGAAAATGCGGGTTTTTTTATTAAGGCCCAATAAAAAAGAGATTTCAAAATTTGTGAAAAAGATAAAAGAAAATCAACTTTTTTTGAAAACTTTAATCTTTTGTTTGAGTGAAAAGTGAATACACAGAAGCCAAATTTGGAAAATGAAAAGAATGATTATAAATGAAAAATAGTGACCCAAAAAAAGTTTGAGCATGGTGGGTGGACACCCTGCAATCAAAATTAGTAGATTGCAGTACCAGAATGCCACATTTCATGATGAATGAGCCCCTAGGCACCCTTTTTAAACCACGAAGTAGTCAGTTTTTTTCCAAATTTTCACTTCTTATTATTCATTTCAGATCTCATACCATCACTTCTCATACTTCATCTTTTCCTGAAAGAAATATTAGAGCTGTCAGTGGATGACTTCCCGTCAACATCTGCGGGTCTCCCAGTTTCCATTTAGAGCCGAAAAAGCTAGATTTCCCTGCGAAAATCTAGACCTTTTGGGTCTAAATCGAAAACTGCAAGGCTCCCAGATCCGACGGGAAGTGCTCCAGTTTTTGTGATTTTCTGATTTTTGCTTTTCACAAATTTTATAATCTTGTTTTTTATAATTATTTTTTCATATTCATGCTTTGAGACCCATTTTCCACCATTCCACAAACACTTGTGACTTGAAGTTCTTGGGGTCCCAGTGTGGAGCTCAAAACAGATGGCTATAAACATCTGGGAGGAGACTGTACATAACTGTATGACCTGCCAAACCACAAAGCAAATTCAGTCCAAGGAGAGACATGCTTTAGTGGGCCCAATGGGGTGATTCATCATGATTGAAATTTAAAACATCTTGAGTCATCCTAAAGATGTCTGTGAACCAACTTTTAGAAATTTGACAATCTGGGCAGATTTCCTGGTGCACATAACTTGTTCATTTTTCAAAAATTTGTTGATGAAGACCTTGATCAGATGTGCTCTTACACTAACCTAGGCAGTACAGCCCAGAGATGTGTAGCCAGGGAATGAAGGGTGGGAAGTGTGAGCTTGGGAGGTAGAAGTTAGATGGATGGCCATTCTCAGTCTCCCTGCGACCGGACCAGAGACAACCAAAAACCAAAAACCAAAAACCAAAAACCAAAAACCAACCAACATACAAGGAGGAACGATGGCAAACAAACGCTCACTCGATCCACCACTCGATCAATCACCCAGCTCATTAAACCAAGCAAAGAAAGTCAAGTTCGGAACCCTACCACCAAACTCAGGATCATCCAAAGCAAGAAACAAGAAACCAGCCAGTTCAAGCTCGACATTCGAGCCGATCGATGACTCAACCGATCTCCAATTCGATGAACTCAATCAAGTAGGAAAGATCAAGAAAGGGAACGTTAAAGTAGATGGCTATGACTCAGATTCTTCGACCGAAAATACCGAGGTACGAAGCAGTAAGAAGAAGAAGAAACAATCAAAGGATGAAATGGACGAGGATGACATCTTTGGAGACGAGAAAGAAGCAGACGGCGATGGTCGAAAGGATAAGCCCAAGTTTGAGAAGATCGATGTCGGACTGAAAGTCAAAAAGGGAGCCGAAGCTAAAGACTTCTTGGACCTAGGAGATATCGAAGGACAAGAATTCGGTAAAGAAGAAGAAGAGGAGGAGGAGGAAGAGGATGAAGAGGATGAGGATGGGGGCGGGGGCGGGAAGAAAAAGAATCGAGCTCGTAACCAGCAACAGGAGGAAGATGATTCAGCGAACGATTATTCAGAAGAAGAAGAAGATTTCGTACCAGGAGATGAGTTTGCGAATGCCGATGATGCACCGAGGGCCAGAAGAAAATCTAAAAAAGGCATGGGATTCTTGCTCAGTAAATTCAACATGGCCGAGGAATTGCAAGAAGGAAGAATGGCCGCCGATGGGAGTTATGTGGCCTCTGCCAAAGATCCTGAAGCCGTACATGATAATTGGTTGGAGGGAGTGAACTCAAAGAAAACGATCAAACAGGCTCGAGACGCTAAACGCTTACGCGACGGTAAGTTCTGCCATCATTTGTTGTTTCGCAGTTGGACTGATCGATCCCCTATTTTTTTCAACAGAACAACTGCGGAGTAAAGTAGAGAAGGAAGAAAGTATGGCCTCGCTTCGGACCCGCAAAGAATGTTATATTGCCCTTTTGGGTCTCTTACCAGTGGGGGATGGTCGGACAGTTTCACAAATTCTATGTCATCTGGGCAACGAGAAACGGGCACTTCAAGGGACGGAAAAGAAGCCGAAGAAGAAGGTTTCAGTCAGGAAGAGTGCGATCGACAGTTTGGTATCAGACACGATGGAGGTGGACGAAGAATCAAAGACGAATAATGGAGATCATCGGGAGCGATCGGCGGATGGCAAGCCAGAGGAAGAAAACAGATCGACAAGCCAGCAAACGAAATCCGAGGAGGAAGTTAAACTAGATCGCAGGATCGGCGAGATCACCGATCTTGCCTCGATGCTCATGGGCACCCATGGCGAGCTAGACATATACGAGATGAGCCATGGCTCGATCACCGGGATCCTGAAGAGCGAAGGCCTCGTTCCTCGGGACTGGCTTCCACCCAGTTCTCAAGACATCTCAATCACTTCCTCATCCGGCGTCCAGTCCGACGCAGGCACATCCCAACCGGCCAGGAAATCATTGATATCAAGACCCTCAATCGCCTCCGCACTAGCTCAATCCCCTCAGATCTATTATAAATTCATCCATTCTAGTCCTCCAACCTCTAACCCGTCCGAATCGGAAGCTCCAGTCTACGGACCATTCGACAAATCGACCATGCTTTCGTGGGCTCAACAGGGCTTCTTCGGCCACGATTTCGAGCGGATTCTCGTCAAACTTGACTCGTCTCTTACTGGTAATGCCACTTGGGGCCCTTGGAACCAAATCTTCAATCATTAATCCCCACCCCCGCTACTATTTTCTTGCTCGTCCTCTTGGTCTGTTCTCTATTTTTCTGTCCATTTAACTTCCTCAAATAACTTAAGCAGGATCTTGTCGATCTTCTTTCCTAAAATACCTTCTATCTGTATCAATGTCTTTTTTTCTCTTCTCTTCTCATCACCAGAAATCTCTCTTATTCCGTCATGCATACATACAAAATATCTTTTTTCGAGTGATGTTGATAGGATTTGATGAAGAACTTTTTTTGAGTCGATGAAAATTAAAGTGATCAACTCTTGACTTTTTTTTAAATTGTTCTATGTTTTCTTTTTCTTTTTTCGGAGATACTCTGGGCACTCCGCAAATTGTTTGCATTCTTTTTTTTCATTCTATCAATCGACTCTGCTCTTGTCGCTGCGAGCAAAAATGTGCACGCATGTCCTACGGGGAATGCTCCTCCCGGGGTTCCCCCGGACCTTCCGTTCGAGTCCATCTAGCACAAAAACGTGTCTCGGTTTTTTTTCCTCCTTTTGTTTCCTCTTTCGGTGTTCACCTTCGAAACAGAATAGCCTCACAACGACCCTTAAGGCTTCTTTGGACCATCAACATTTATCCACATTTTCATTTTTTTCCAATCGTTAAGGAAATTTGTCCACCAATGACCACTATCGATCAAAGACAGAAACGGCAGACTTACTGGGATTCGGGCCGGATGAGTCCAGGTAAGAGATCCTTACTATGACCAACGAAAAGTTTTTATAATGCCAACAAAGAAGCTGATACTGAACATGAAATCTGACAGCTCTACAGCGAGCAAGACTACCATTCCGAGCGAAGAATTTGATGATGGGCGCAGGGATCTTAACGTTTACGTTTGGAGTGTACATGTACTCGATAGCGGCGGTCAAGCAGGACGACTTCTCGGACATCCCAGCCCCATCGCTCGAGAAGATCCAGCAGATCAACCGGGAAAACGAACAGCGGATCCAGGAGGAGCAGGCTGCCCTCCGGACTGCCTCTGACCTCCTCGTCTCAACTCGACCCGCATCGAGCTTACCTCCCATCGGCCTCCTCGGCTCCACCGCCTCCTGGCTCAGAGGACGCAACTCTTCAAGCGAAATCATCCCGGGCGCTCCTCCCGTCGATCGGATCGGGAAAATCGACGACCGTCAGGTCGTCCAACAGGACCGCAAGCTGGTTTAGATTTTCTAGATTTTTCGGTCCAACAAACCCCTTGATTTTGTCCCATTTGAACAATTAAACCCCACTCCAAGTCAAGCTAAGATGTATCATTAAGAAAAGCATAGAAAAAAAAAGAATACAACTCTAATCTTGGGGCCTGTGTTGTTCGATTTTTTTTTGTGAAAATCCAAAAAACTGAAAAATTAAGGCAGTCAATGGAGGACTTCCTGTCGACCAGGTGGCTTACTTTAGAGGGACCGGCTAAACTTTGTTTGCTGGTGAAATCATGAAATCAAACAATTTTCACCAGCCAATAAGGTTTAACAGCCCATCCTTGTAAATCTACAGATTTAGCCAATGGGAAGTCCTCCAATGATTTCGAAAAATGAGCATCCAAATCAGATCAAGCCGCTTCTGCTAATCTGCCAGGAAGGTGATCAAGTTTGCAGGCGAATTCCCCTGTGGAACCAAGATCACATGATTCAAAAATCCAATTTCCAAAAAAAAAAAAACGATCTTTGATAATGGTCACCAGGAAAGATCAATGTTCACTAGATGTCAAGTGACATCATGTAATATTGATTGCTGCTCCCATGTAGCTCCAACTCTGCTGGGACTCAACTACAATGGCCCCTTTGAGTGCTACAGGGGGCTGAGGCAGAGTTGAGCTGGATGTATAATGGGTAGTACACTGGGGTTAGCTTGATGTCACTTATCATCATGAAGTGTTCATTGTTTTTTTTTCCTGGTGGGTGTACCACCAACACAGAAATCTTGATCATCTTGCTCACCATTTTCTATCCAAATCATCATCAGCTTTACCTCTCCACATTGGTCCAGCCCACACAACTCACCATTCCACTGCTAAAATGGAGTGTTGTTGGGAGTGCAGCGGGAAATGAAACGTGTCCATGGAGGGCTACGCCTTTCAGGCCCAGGTTCTGCCCACAAGCTCACCACAGCCTGCTGTGCGGAATCCTCCCGAGCCGCGCATCAGAGGTTTTCCCCGGCTGAGCAGCGAACCTGGGCCACTGGGGAGGAGCTTCCTGCTTGTCGCTCTCCTCCCAAAGAGCTCACCTCATCCATCTCCACATACCCTTTCACCTCCGCTTGTCCACCTCCTGATCTCACCCCCTTCCGGACTCGCTCTCGCAAGTTTTCTTAAAATAAATTCGTAAAAACAAACCTAAACCGATAACACAACTTCGATCCCCTTCAAGATGTCAAACAACAATCCTATCCAATCCTTAAGTGACAGAGTTAAAGACTCGTCACAGCAACAACAACAACAGAACACAACCAGCAACCCCTCACAGCAACCAACCCAGATCCGCGGCCCCAATCCCATCACCCATCACACCCCCACCCCTTCCACTCTTCCTTCTTCCATCCCAATTCCCCACAAGAACGCACCTCAGTCGCAAGACAAAGAGAACGGATCGATGTCAAAGTCGCAATCCGACCCGAAAGGGAATGAACCTAGGCCAAACAAGGTCGGAGAGTCGGATCCACCACATAGTGGCCTGGTAACCAGAGCAACGCTTAAGAACCCAATAGGTAAGCAAAAAAAGAACGGAAGACAACCGGAAAGCGTAGAACGAACAGATTGACTGACAAATTTCCCCGCATAAACGAACGCACAGAGATCATGGACGACTCGCGTAGCAGAGGCCCAGCTAAGGCGACCAACGCTAGGGCAAAGGAAATCCTACTAGCCAAAGCGGTCAAAGCTCAAGAGGATGGTGACGACGTCAAGGCAGACCGGTTCTTCACAATGTACGAGTCGATAATGACCGAAGAACCCCCTAGCCCAAAACCTTCCACCACTACCACCGAGGTCACGGTAATGCCCAACCCCACGGTCAACTCCAAGAAGCGACCGGTCGAGGCCGAGGGTACGACTCAAGTGAGAGGCATAAAGTTCATCTGGACTAACTCTAACTCCCACGATGACGGTGGTTTCACGCCGTACTTCCACAAAAATCTACTTGAGTTGAAGGGCCCAATCCCCTTAACCATCTTCAACAAAGCCTGGCAAGAAGAGGCACTCTCCTACCACTCGAAGAACAGACCCAAATCGGAAGAGTCTTCCTCCGAGAAAAACCTTCGCTACCACGGCTTAGCAGTCCCAGACGAATGGTTACAGTCGTTTGCTGACTGGACTCTCAACCACCGCTGTTTCCATGAGACGATGCGCGACAGGTACAACTACCCTGTCCTCGCTGAATGGATCCTAATCCACAAAGCCAATTGCGACCGATTGCAGAAGAAACACGGTTTCATGGTAGCCTTACGCTACGATATCAGGATACGTAACAATGCCTTCACATTCAGAGTCGAGAAAGACGGTGAAGAGTCCTTTTCGAACATATCTATATTCAAACCTGAGACAGCGGACAACGCTCACTCCGAGGCACGCAACTTCAATGAGTTGGGAGTCAAAGAAAACCCCTACACCCTGGGAGGTCCCAAATACGGATGGGATCCCCACACCGGCCAAAAATCCGCCAAATCAACTTCCACAACCACGCCGGCCCCCAACAATAAGGCGACCAACAACCACACCGGCGGTCCACCAACCCAAGCGGTGTCGAGTAACCTTCCACCCAAACCGGACCAAGGAAGACCCCCCAGAACCTCCGGCTACAAAGGGAGGAATTTCAACCCAAACCACAACCTTGCCAGCCAGGCGAAGAGGAAACGAGTAGGTCAATTTCTCCTTAACCATGTTCCATGTCCCATACCCCCCACTCCACCCGCACGCGCGCAACAATCCCCCCGCCCCCCCGCCCCCACTTTTCTCTCTACCTCCTTTTCGTTCCTCCCTTTTATCTCTTTCTGTCTGCACTTCCTGTCCATCAACCACCACTTCCTTTCAAAAAAAAAAAAAAAAAAAAAAAATAAAGAAGGAAAGAAACGATCACAACCTCTTAAGAAGCCTGTAAATAGATTAGCACGCGGTTATCATTGCAATAAAAGAGAGATCATTCTAACATAAGTCGTACCGTGCCCCGCTCCCTCTCCGCTAGCAGGAAGCCAGGTTATAAAGGGCTACCAAAAGAGCCCATTTACCCTAGTGAAGCCGAGCCTCACATATCCTCAACACCCCAAGCAGAGAGTAGCCAGTTGACGATAAGGAGGGACACGACACCGGCGTGGCCCACCGAGATTAACTGTGAGATGGACATAGGGGAATGGGAGAAAGCACTCAAGAACGCAAATCTCCTGACCGAATTCGAGGACGTCATACGAGGGTTCAGAGAGGGTTTTGACCAAGGAATCCCTAACCACAACTTAGGCCCGGCCATCCCATATTTCACCCCACCCAACCACCAATCGGCATTGTTGGCCCGAGAGAAGATTGAGCAATCAATGGAGAAAGAAATAGAAGCAGGCCAAATGTTTGGCCCGTATACCCATGAACAACTAATGAAGAAGTTCGAATTTTTCCGTACAAACCCTCTTGGAGCCGTCATCAACGGAGACGGCTCCACCAGACCGATAAACAACCTCTCATTTCCACGGAACGACCAATCAATCCCTTCCGTCAACTCATTCGTCGACAAACTAGACTATGCTACCACATGGGATGATTTCGAGAAGGTCTCCAAGTTCTTCCGAAGGCAGTCGGGCCCACTTCTCCTCGCTCTCTTTGACTGGGAGAAGGCATACCGCCAAATCCCAACCGCGAAGTCTCAGTGGGCTTATCTGATGGTAAGAGACTTTAACGGGGGTATCCTAATAGACACACGGATAGCCTTCGGAGGGGTAGCAGGATGCGGCTCTTTCGGAAGGCCTGCCGACGCATGGAAGCAACTGATGCTCCACGAGTTCGACTTGGTGACCGTCTTCCGCTGGGTAGACGATAATCTCTTTGTCAAACACCCGGACTCCACAGTCGAGATGCAAGACATCGTCACCAGGTCAGAGGAACTAGGAGTCAAGACAAATTCCACCAAATACTCCCCGTTCAAGGAAGAACAGAAGTATATTGGATTCATCTGGAATGCCACACGGAAAACCGTCAGGCTTCCAGACGACAAAAAGTATCAGAGGATACAGCAGATCAAGGAATTCCTGAACCCCGAAGCGGAATTCTCCTTCAAACAAGTAGAGGTAATGGCGGGTAGACTCAACCACGTCTCGTACCTACTTCCTCAACTTTGCTGCTACCTGAACAGCCTATACCGATGGCTGAACACCCCCTAATGGACAATGGGCAACAAACTGCATGCAACACTTGATGTTACCAAAACATCAACCATTGAAATTAACAATATCTAACTTACACTTGATGGAAATTAAGAATATCCAACTTATAGAGACAGGCAAAATGAAGATGTGTCTGGTCAGAGTCAAACTCACGACCTCATCAATGCTGAGACACATACTAGAGTGCTGCCTTTACCAACTAGGCTACAGATGCTTTTGACTGCCAGGGTAGTTGGGTGGTAGTCCTCATGGTTCAACATGTAGTGATACATCATGGTAGCAGATTATCAGACACCTCAACACAACTTACACTTGTTGCTGCTGCAGTTGGTTGCAAATATCTGGGCAGCCTGTGGCAGCTACACTGCATTACACCCCTTTCTACTGATTGTTCCACAAAAAGTGGTCTTAGAAAGGTAAAATACAAAAACCACTTGCTTGCAATCAATTGATAAATGTATCTACTGGCTTCCAACTCTGAAAACGCTTTCTTTTCCATTATTTCTAGTGGTATTTCTAATTTCTGTGTTTTTTATTTTACTCTACTTTCCTTTTTAGTTTCTTATTTCTGTTTCTAGGAATCACTGACTACTCTTTGAAAAAAAATTGTTCAGACAATGCAATAGGCTCTATGGAGAAGAAATTTGGTAGGGACCATGGAAATGCAAAGAAATTTGCACTATTCATTCAGGTTACCATTGAAGCAGATGAGGATATCAAGCTTATTTTATTGATTTCAAAACGGGAGCTGGTAAAACAATTGTTTCGAGGGCAAAAGGCTTGGAACTTAGATGATCATCAGACATCAGCCATTGATTCTAAATTGCTGGGGGAAAAAAGTAGGTACTCGAGATGAAACAATCTGCTTGGATCCAATTCATTAATCAAGCCGAGTCAAGTCACGATCTGTTTGGCGCCCACAGTTCCAGTCCTACCTCCGACTCCAAAAGTGCTAGTAATTCATAAAAACGTTAGTCTCTGTCTCTCTCTGCCTGTGTGTGTGTGTGTTTTAACACATTTGGATGTGATCTTCATTGCTTACACAGTGCCTACAAACGCGTCTCCCTTTTCAAGGTTGGACCAACTCCGACCATCCGACTTGATCAACACCATCTCGCATTTCTATGAAGTGGACAAAAAAACATTGAATCGATGTATTCAATGTGTATCAAGTTTGTTAGCTTGTCAAGGTACTTTGAGATAGTTGGTTATATCAAAAAGAATAGTAATTCACCGTTGAGAGGATTTTGTATGTGGATTGGTCTGGATCTATAAGTCCGAACAAGTTGAATGTTCGCCGGAATCGTTTGTTGGAAGGTAGTTTTAGATCAACATCGACCTACAATCGATAAATTACAGAAGTGTCAAAAAAATCGCATTTTTTTTGGGAAACAAAGAGGTGGGAAGACTGACAGTCGATGTATTAAACTTGATGAGGCTCTTTTCTTGGTCAACTTTCTTGGCAAAGATACTGACGATGACTGAGGTTGGAGTTTGGTAGAAATCAAATCGACTTTCGACTGATTCTTCTTGATCGTTCATCGTCGATCCTGAGACCTCCGTAAACAAATGACTACTTTTCTTGCAACCTCTTAGTCGAAGGAAGTCATCAAAATCTAACACCCGTCGTTTACAACACGAATATCCTTTCGAACCCTCGTGAAAAACCGGCTTTGTTTTTTTGGGGGTGATCGTGAGTTTCATTAGTGGAGAGAATTTTGGTAGGGTGTAAGTAATTGTTGCAATTTAGAAATCTGATGGAATAAGGTTGATAGGATACAATCAAACATACTGTACCAGGATGGTATGTACATTCTTCTTTGTCTAATTCACCTCGTTTGCAATTTCCAAGACCATGCCAGGTGATTCCGCAAGCCAAACGTTTACACTTGCTACCTTCGGTCACGATAGACTCAGGGTCATCTTGCAGTTCCGGTTTGGGTATCACAGGCTGGGATTCGATAGCTTGTTCGGGCTTGATAGGTTGGAAGACATCCTGGGTAGTCTGGTGAGTGGGCATAAGCGCAGGCATGGTTTGATCAACAGTAGTAAATGTCATCGTGCCATTCGCATCTACGCTCGATTCCTTCAGTTCCACTTGAGCTGCAGGAGTTGTTTGTACGACTGGCTTTTCAAGAGAATGCACGCCCGTCGCACATCCTTCGATTTTCATGAACTGGTCAAACTCCATCACCGGTTTATTCATCTCCTTGCAACATGACCAACTCTTCAATCCTTCATGAAAAACTGGAGCAAAAAAATTTCAAAGGAAATCACAATCAGGACCTCAGAATTAAGGCGCGTTTTGATAAATTAATGAAAAAAAATATAACTGTTGTGAAAGTTCTCTTACCTGGTTGGCCAGGGTGGAAGACACATTCAGATTTCAAGTTATGGTCAGGATCGAACTTCTTTCCGCATCCTAGTCGAGTACAGGTCGCCATAGTTGTGAATGAGTGTCCGTTCTTGGTGAGAATTGTTTGTGGGCAGAGGCTGTTGACCACTCTGGGCTCGACAGTCAACCAAAGTCAAACAAAAAAAAACGAGAATGTCCTAGACGGTTCCACAGATTGACGTATCCCCGGTAGGTTCACATTTCCCCGGGGGATTGGCTAAAACTCGATGTTTGCAATTGTCCACTTTGCATATATGCAGACATCTTCTTGGGTTGACGGCGCCACAGTGCGCCCGCTCCCCGTGCGCGCACCAGAAGTTCTTAAAAATGAGGGTTGACAGCACCTGACTTTTAACCCTACTTTTGAATGGCCCCTGAAATAACCTTGGACCGGATCCAACTGAATCAAACCGGATTTAATGTTTGTTATGATTTGCAATTTACAGTCTCAGTCACTGCTTGGAATTATGTGGTTTTGGCTGCTAGCACAATCACACAGCTCCCATGTCCCCTCTTAGCGGATGCAATGGCCAGAGACGGTAGGCACATGCATTGAAGCAGAGGGCAGCCACCAATTACGCAAAGGGCAAGCACCAGGACCTGCCTGTGGCTCCGGATCAGAATCCAAACTTTGATTCTGATCAACTCTACAAATTCCAACCTCAATTTTTGTGATTTTTTTGACTGCACCCAGCTCACCGGGGCACCACCAGCCAAAGGCAACATGCTCTGGCAGTTTGGCAGGTGCCCCTAGGAGGGTTTCTCTCGGCCGTTGAGGTTGTAGACCCTTGAAGGCTGAGAGAAACTCTCTCGCCGTCAAGAGAGCACTCTCCGTGGCTGGGAGGAATCCTCCCGGCCGCTGTGTTTTTTTTTCTTTTGATCACCGACCCCCAAAACCAAGGCATCGACACCCAACCCCTCCGGGGTTTTTCTTTTTTTTTATTTAATTTGTTTTGGGGGCCGACTCCCAAACCCATGGATGGATTTGGGGAATCGACTCCCAAATTTTGGGGAAACCCGGGTTTGGGAGTCGACCCTCCAATTTTTGGGAGTCGGTTGACCAAGACCCTATCAAAAAGGTGGTGCCGTCAACCCTACATCTTCAAGACCCAAGCCCCATGCCAGGGTACAGATCATGATCAAGTACTGGAGGACCCTCCTTTGGGTTTACAGAAACTCTGAATCTTAATTTATACCCAAATCAATTTTTTTTAGAAAAAGTAACTTTGCTTTTTTTATCACAGTAATGGACAAATTTCCTTTAATATTTGAGGGTCTCCCAGAAGCAATTTAGAGTCTCAAAAGCTAGATTTCCCAGCAAAATTGTATAATTTCTAGATCTAACTCAAGATCTGTGAGGGCCCCAGATCTTATGGGAAGTCCTCCAATGATGACTTTGGGGTGCAATGGTCATGTTTGTGACAAGTGTGTTTGCTGTAAATTGCAATGGGAGGTCCCCCACTTCTCTCTTGATCAACAATCTTTGTATCATTTTAACAGGGCATACCACATTGAATCGAATCGATTTGAGTATTCGTATTCGTATTCGATTCGAGTTGAATAAATGGAGTGGCACTTTCAGCTCGAATATTCGAATAAAATCGAATATTTTCTCAGATTGCCATTCAGGGCCTTTGGGGCCCCGGAGGAGCTTGCAGCCTTGCATATGTAGGCCCTCTATGGGCCCCGGGGTCCCTGTGAGATGTTTTGCCCACATCATCAACCTTGCGGCAAATGAAGTTCTCCGTGTTGTCGAGCCTTCATTAACTGAAGGTCCTGTGGGTCAGAGTCAAGGTTGAAGGTGCAAAAATCTATGAGTCAGGAAGGATTCATCTGTACATTGAATTTTGGGAAGCCGAATGTAAGACTCGCGCCCCAGAGCAAGTTAATAAATCGGTCTTGGACGCCGTTGACGAAGGAGTTTGTTCCGTGATGTCTGGACCTGCCGGTGGTTTCGAGCCAGCCAACGATGTCCTCCAGGAGCATCTTTCAGTCATCAATCGCTTTGCCCAGGCTGGACAGCAGGTTGCTGATCATCTCCACATTCTCCGGGATCCGGCCGGCCAGGAGCTGCTGGACACCAAGATAGGCCAGCTTGGTCGGGTCCTTGGTGTCGGTCAGATCAGACGCATCCTCATCCGTCGTCAAAAAGACCTCAAACATCTTTTTTAGGTGTTTTTGGTGATTTTTGGGACTTTTTCTTTCGAATATCTTCGAATACCCAAGTATTCGACGAATCGGTATTCGAGGGGCACAAAAATCCTGTCGAATACCACCGTGGTATGCATTGCATTTTAATGGCTGGAGGACTTCCCTTCACAATTTACAGAGCTTTCTAATACTTTCTAAATCCTAAATTGATAACTTAATCACAATTACCACCAGCTGACATGAGAGCAAAACTAGAGAAAGTATCACATTGTGTTCTATTCATATGTGATAACATTTCTTGCTGCCATACAATGCTATTTTGTGTACCTAAATTGCAATGAATGCTTCTCAAAAGAGAGTTCTTCTGACCAAAATTCTAGATTGAAGGGGTGTGAATTGACTTATGGGAGTGTTGTAGATTGTAATGGGAAGTCATCCACTGTGACAAAAATCTCATTATGGTGAAAATCTTCATCAATATTCTTTGTAAAGAGGTACTGGATCCAAGAAAAAGGCAAAATTCAATGTTTAGCTTACTGATTCAAAATAAAAAAGCTTTGCTTGATGTTGATGTATACTCAGGATTCAAAGTGAGAATTCAAAGATGTGGTTCAAACTCTTTAATTATCAAAACAAAACTTATTCAGACCACTCAACTGGTCAAAATATTCAGACCATTCAAGTGGTCAAAAGATTGTGAAGTGCTGTCTTGGTTAAAGAATTCTGATTTGGACCTGGGTAGCAGGTGGGTTTTTTTTCCCCTAAAAATGCACATAGTGCTGCACTTTGCACCCTCTGTCAGGTACTAGCAATACCATTGGCCAAATTGTTGGTTACCAGCAGTAATTTGTGTGTCTTTCTGTTGGGATGGTGAATCCCGTATGTAGTACTTGATGCTTGTACATAGTTATGCTTATATCAAGCTGTCCACTGCTACTGAACACCGGACTCCCTCTCAGTACTTTCTTCCTCACTGAATAAACATATTAGCTTCTCATCGTCAAGTCCCACACGTGAGTCTCAACTTCAGTTGCAGTTTTGGTCCCTGTGCCCCTCAACACTTTCAGGTGTCACAAAATGGGGGCTGGGTGCTAGTTGGGGATTCAAGATCATCATGGGTCTTGCTAAGACTGTATATGGCCTTGCTGGCTGGAGGAATCACTCCAGCTGTCAAGACTGTATGTACCCTCACTGGCTATATTAATCCCTCTAGCCGTCAATAATTTATACAGTCTTTCTGGCTGGATAAATCTCTCTAGTTGTCAAGACTTTACATTTTATCAATGGCCAGAGGCAATTTCTCCAGCCATCATGACTTGAACAAGTCTTGAAGACCAGAGGAAATCCTCTTTCCCTTGAGTCCCCAAAAAACACCAAACTCAAAGCAAACAGGTCCTGAAGGGATAGCTGGGTATCACACCGCCTTTTCTAAAATAATGAGCACCCAGCACCGCCCAGGTGGGGTGCGGAGGGTTCGGGAGGCACCCACCACAAGGGGCCAGGTACACCTCAAAGGGTCTAAATCAACAATCTTTAGACTTGGTGATAAGTGAAAACAATGAGAAGAGTGATTCTTGAACTGAGATTGAGACTTAATTTATCATCAAATTTGATAAAAAAAATGCTAGAGGGGATGAATCAAGTAAGGAATTCATGACTAGAGATTTATGGAAGGAAGGATTGATTGTTCAGAGATTTTATGCTTCTGTAAGTAAAAAAAAGTTACAAGCTGGTGTGCTAAAAGAAAAAAACATCATGAATGATAGAGCACTTCCTGCTGATTCAGAATTTCTGTTCATTTATTTTTTATTTTGGTCTGAATCCTGAATACCAAATTTTAAATGGAAAATTATTAATCATAATTGAAATATGTCTCTCCAGGTTTGTCACAAAAATGTGATAATCTGATGGCTAATTCATTGTGTATTTTGGGATCTACTATTTGAGCCATCAATGTCCAATAGGATTTAGGACTTGAATCATCCAGAGGCTGTGAATTCATTTCCATAGATCTGATTTCATACCAATAACCCAATAGTAAAAGGGAAATTGCAGTTGTTTTTTCACATCTGACATTTACTGAATCTGTTAGGATTCTTGACAGAAATTTTTGAGGAGCTTCAAATGATCTTTGAGATGGCTTATCCGGTGTAAAATGTATTGCATCCTGAACTAAAACTGGAGAAATATTTCTGTTTTGATAAAATAAGGAATCAATAAACCATTTCATCAAATCATCATGGGTATTTTTGATTTCAGTTCCCAATAGCCTGATATCCAGATTATTTAACATAGCAATCTTATGTAGAATATCTAAGGAAAAAAATATCCTTGTTATCCTTTGTGAAACTATGCGGAAGATTCTATGACTTTCTAATTTAAGATCTTTGGATTTCCTCAAACTAGTCAAGATTTTCATAGATTCAGTATTGAAATTTTGATGATCATCTTTATAATCCTTACATTTTAGAATTGGTAATCCAGAAAAGGATGAGCATTTTTCAGAAGGGTTTGAATTCAATACCTTCATCTGAGACCACATGCTTTTAAATCTTCTATGGATGAATTTGCTGAATTTCTTCGAGGTGTCTGATTTGGAATTTGATCTTACAATTGAATAAACCATTTTAAAAAGTGGCTCCCATTTTCTATTATAATCATCAAAGTATATGGAGTTGCTGATGTGAATTTTCATTTTCTCAGTAAAATATGAATTTTCTTGAATTTCAGTACTGCTAACCACGTTTGGTTTGAAAAAAATATTCTTTTGATTCACTAATTTTTCCAACAATGACAAATAATTATCAGCGTACCAGACTTTTGGACCTGGAAAATTCACAGAAGACACTTGATACCAATTTCCCAACAAAAAAAGTGCTAGTTGGTGGAATGTTTCATCTGTTGGGCTATCATATTCAATCAAAACCTTTGAAAGTGTCTTTTGAACATTTCCAAATAGGTTTGAAGCTTCTTTGTTGGTTGAAAAGGATA